GGCGGCGCGCCGGCGCTGACCGTCGCCGGCGCGTCGACGGCCGCGGGGCTCGGCGGCCTCGCGGGCGACGCGACGCTCGCGGAGTACGACGCGCCGCCCTACGCGGGCGCGCTCGCGTCCAAGGTCGCGCGGTTCGGCCTCGCGAAACCGTCGCGGGCGCGGCGCCTCGCGGCGGCGGGCCGCTTCTCCCTGACCTTTTACGGCGCCGCGCCCGCGAACGCGACGGGCGGCAACGCGACGTGCGCGCCGGGCGCGGACGACGTCTCGTGGGCCTGCGGGGGCAACCTGACGTTGACGGCGCCGTGCCTTCCGGGCGCCGTCGTCGCCTTTTTCTGCCCCTTCGACGAGGCCGCGTGCGTCGCGTGGAACGGCACGGCCTGGGACGCCGCGTGCGACGCGGCCGTCGACGGCGCCGCGGTGACGTGCGACTGCCCGGCGGCGCCGGCGCCGGCGGACTACGCGGTCACCGCGCGGTCCGTGCTCGGCACCTACGCCTACGCCTTCGCCGCGGCGCCCGGCGCCGCCATCGCGGCGACGCCCCTCCTCTACTGGACGCTCGCGGCGCTCGTGGGCGCGTGCGCGGCCGTCGCGGCCGTCGGCGTCGTCCTCGACGCGCGCGACGAGGCGCGGCTCGACGACGACGCCTGGCGCCGCGCCTACGAGCGGTCCCGCGAGCGGGGCGCGACGCTCGGTGAGATCGTCGAGGCGAGCATGCCGTCCTTCGTCGGGCGCCTCCGCGGCGGCGCGCTCCGCTGGGCGCTCGAGCTCGTGCGGTCGCACCACTCCTGGTGCCGCATCCTGACGCACTTCGCGCGCGACGCGCCGCGGCACCGAAGGTGCGTCACGTTGCTCTTCACGGTGCTCATGATCATGTTCGGCCAGGCCGTCGCGTACTGGTTCGCGTACCCCGTGGGCTTCTGCGAGCGGGCCGAGCACCGCGACGACTGCCTCGCGAAGCGCACGTTCTTCGCGGAGATGGTCGGCGCCCTCGCGGGCGACGGCGACCCGGACCGCGACGCGTGCGTCTGGAGCGACGCGCCGCGCCGCGGCGAGGACCGGTGCGCGCTGCGCGCGCCGGAGCCCCACGACGTCGGCTTCAAGCGCCTCTTCCTCATCTTCCTCGGCGTCGTGCTGGCGATCCCCTTCACGGAGCTCTTCGACTCGACCTTCGTGCGCTACGTCTGCGCGCCCGTGGCCTGGACGCGCGCGGCCCGCGAGGCCCCGGAGAAGCGGCGCGCGAGCCGGACCGCGAGCGTCCACGGCGGCGAGCTCAAGGGGAACCTCGTCGTCACGCCGGGCAAGACGGCGGCGAAGCACCACCACGCGGTCTTCGGCGAGTTCGAGACGTCGGGCCACGACGAGGACGCGCGGCGGCCCGCGCACCGGCGGCGGCGCGCGCGCGACCGCCACGGCCGCGCGGACGCGAGCCTCGTCGCGCACGACGTCGGCCGGCGGCTCTGGCGCAACCTGCACATCGACGGCCCGTCGCTCGCCGTCGCCGAGGTGCCGCCGGCGACCTACTACGCGCTCCGCGCCGTCGTGCCCGTCATGGCGGCCGTGCGGTTCCAGCACCGCGAGCTCCTCGACGCGCTGGGCGACGGCGGCGCGGCCGCGGGCGCCGTAGCGCGGCTGCTCGACGACCTCGAGCGGCGCTGGGCCGCGGCGCCGCTGCGGAAACCGCGCGCCGAGCGGCCCCGGGGCTGGGAGCGGGCCTTCGCGGAGCGGACGCTCCGGCGCCTCGTCCACGGGCAAAGGGTCGCGGCGCACTACGCGGAGATCGCGCGGCGCGTCGACGACCGCCGCAAGGCCGCGGCGCTCGTCGTGAATCTGATGCGCCTCGCGCGGCTGAGCGACACGGAGGCGAAGATTCTGGAGCAGCAGCTCGCGGCGGACGGCGCCTTCGACGCGCCGGGGCCCGCGCCGGCGCGCCTGCCCGCGGTGTCGCCGCGCGCGAAGGTGGCGGCGTCGGTTGCGTGCCTCGCGGCCTTCGCGGGGCCCGTCTACTTCCTGCTCGTCTTCGCCGCGGCCGAGGGCCGCAAGATGACGCGCGCGTGGTACTTCTCCACGCTCTTCTTCATCTTCATCGCCGTCGGCATCGTCGAGCCCTTCACGGTCTTCATCCTCAAGTTCTGCCTGCCGGCGTCGGCCTACGCGAAGCTGCGGTGGATGCGCGACCCGACGCTCCTCGACGACCCGGCGCGCGTGCGCCTCTTCGTCGAGCCCGCGGCGCTGCTGCCCGACGACGTGGCGTCGTGCTTCGGCGCGCTCGGCGCGGACGCGCCCGCGCGGCTGGCCGCGCGCGACGCGCTCGCGCCGCGGGCCGAGAGCCTGGCGGAGGAGCCGGCGAAGAAGTCCCTCGCGGCGGCGGTCGGCGCGCCCGTGGCCCGCGGCGCCGTCGAGCGCGCGCTGCTCGACGAGGCCGCGGCGGGCTTCGCGCGCGTCGACGCGGCCGCGGACGCGGACCGCGACGGCGAGCGGCGGGCCCACGAGGCCTTCGCGGCGCTCGGCGGCGCCTGGGAGGTCGCGGCCCTCGAGCGGCAGGCGAAGCGCGCGAAGTTCGCCGCGCCGTTGTACCACGGCGCGGCCATGGCGGCCGCCGCGGCCGTGCTCGCGGTGCACCCGGCGCTCCGGAGCTGCGTCATCAAGCAGGGCATGATCCTCGTGAGCCTGGGCATCTGCGGGTCGCGCGTCGCGTTCCTGCGCGCGTTCCTCGACCGCGCGGACCGCGCGGCGCCGGGCCTCGGGCCCGTCGCGCTGGCCTGGGCCGCGATGGTCGCCGCGTGCCTCGCGGCCGTCGCGGTCTTCAAGGTGCGGTGGTGGCTCACGTCCCTGCGGCGCTCCGCCGTCGCGGCGGAGAGAGCGCTCGAGCACGCGGCGTCGGAGGTCGCCGAGGTCGCGACGTCCGCGACGCGGCGCGCGTCGCAGCTCCTGCGGCGGAGGACGGACGACGACGGCGGCGACGCGGCGGACGTGCCCGCGCTCTCCATCGACTTCGGCGACGACGTCGCCGAGAGCGACGGCCGCGACGCGCCGCCGCGCCAGCTGTCGCGCGCGCTCTCGCGCGACGTCGCCGCGCGGGCCGCGCGCCTGGACCACTCCGCGGCGGCCGCGCGCCGCGTCGCCGCGCTCGTCGACGCGCACCACTTCGGCTGGGCGGGCGTCGCGGGCACGGCGCTCTCGTCCGCGCTCCTCTACGCGGACGTCGCCGACGGCGGGCCCGACGTCGAGGTCGCCGCGGGCGCCGCGAGGCGCGGCTCGAAGGCGTACGCGACGCTCCTCACGAGCGCCAAGGGCCAGGCCGCCAAGGCCGTCAACGAGCTCCGCGGGTCCGTCTTCTCCTAACGCGAGCTCCACGGGTCCATCTTCTCCTGACGTCTGTTTTGTTTCCGTGGTGGTTTCCTGTCTATTTTCCGTGCCCGTCCGCGTTTTGGCGACGACGACATTTGGCGCCTAACTTGAACAAGATGTTGAAGCCACGGAGCCGTGGGATCTCGTAGATTGACTCTTGAAGCGGTGTCATGCGCTCTGCTCTCGCACTCACGCTCATCTGCGCGGCCACCGCGCTGCGCGCGCCGGTGGCGCACCGGCGGCTCTGCCTCAAAGCGCTGGCCGCGCCGTCGGAAGCTGAGCGGCGCGCGTTCCTCGCCGCGAGCGCCGCGACGCTCGCCGGCGCCGCGGCGCCGGCGACGGCGTCGACGGCGGAGCCCACGGCGTCGGGCGTGGGCAAGGCCGTGGACAAGGCCGTCGGGCGGAAGATCCTCCAGATCGAGCGCCTCGACGTCGACTCCAACGGCCAGGGCCCGCGGAAGCTGCTCAAGCCGCGGCTCGAGTTCAGCGGGTCGACGGTGACGGTGAGCAACGACTTCGCGCCGGACCCGGAGCGGTCCGAGTCCTTCGTCCAGTACCTCTGGATCAAGAACGAGGACACGGACACCATCGTCGCCGCGAAGGAGTTCACGAACAAGGAGAAGGGGCCGCCGTCGCTCAGCGCGAGCCCCGTCAAGCCCGGGAGCACCTACGCCCCCGCCGCGTACCACTCCCTCTACGGCCTCTGGCTCGGGCGGTCAGAGATCGCGTGAGGAGGAAGCTGGGTAAGCAAAAGATGCGCCTAGGCCGTCGCGCGCAGCGGCAGTGGCCGGAGTCGTCGTCGTGAGTCTGAACATCAACTGATCGATGGCAATGGCGTTTGCACCCCTAATGCGCGCCGTCACCTTGGCCCTCCTGGCCGCCAACTGCGACGCCTTCGCGACGCCGGCGCGGCGGCCGCCGCGCCGTGCGGCCGCGACCATGGCGCTGCCCGGCCGCCTCGTCGGCCGCGCGTCGGCGCTGGCCCTGCGCGGCGGCGGCGCCGTGGGCGTCGGCGCGGCGACGGCGCTGGCGCTGCGCGGCGGCGGCGGCGCCGTGGGCGTCGGCGGCCCGCTGTCGCTCCTGCCGCCGGTGGCGACGCTCGCCGTCGCGCTGGGCACGAAGCAGGTCGCCGTCGCGTTGCTCGTGGGCATCTGGTCCGGGTGCCTGTTGCTGCACAGCCGGAACCCGGCCGTCGCCCTCCTGCGCGCCGTCGATATGCACGTGCTCGACGCCGTCGTCGACAAGGAGCACGCCACGGTCATCCTCTTCAACCTGCTGCTCGGCGGGACGATCGGCGTCGTCCAAAAGGGCGGCGGCGCGCAGGGCCTCGCGCGGAGCCTCAAGCGCTTCGCCAAGGACGCCAAGAGTTGCCTGGCGACGGCCTGCGGCCTCGCGGGCCTCATCTTCTTCGACGACTACGCGTCCATCCTCATCGTCGGCAACTCGTTCCGCCCGCTCGTGCCCGCGCTCCGCGTCTGCCGCGAGAAGTTCGCGGCGCTGCTCCACTTCGTCGCCGTGTCCGTGTCGGCGTCGTCGCCCGTGAGCTCCTGGATCGGCCAGCAGGTCGGCATGGTCTCCGCGGCGACCGCGGCCGTGCCGCCGGGCGCGATCCCGTCCGCGTTCGTCCTCACGGTGCGCACGCTGCCCTACCGCCTCTTCCCGCTGGCGCTCCTCGCCTTCGTCGCCGCCAACGTCGCGTCGGACCGCGACTTCGGCCCCATGCGCGACGCCGTGGCGCGGAACGAGGCCGCGCCCGCGCCGGGCGCGGCGGCGGCGCCGGACGGCGGCGCGGCGCCGGACGCGGGCGCGCTCGAGCCCGCGCCGGGCACGCCCCTGCGGGCGCTCAACGCCTTGGTGCCCTTTGGCACCATCGTCGCGGCGACGCTCGGCGGCATGGTCCTCGACGGCCGCGCCGCGCTCCGCGCGGCGGACCCGGCGGCGCCCGCGGGCGTTCTGGCGGCGCTGAGCGCGGGCGACAGCGTGCTCGCGCTGCTCTGGGGGTCGCTGCTCGGCGCGACGTCGTCCGTGGGTTTACTGTTGGCCCAGAAGATCCTCTCGCTCGACGTCGCCGTCGCGACGTTCATCGAGGGCATGAAGGACGTCGTCGAGCCCGTCATCGTGCTCGCGCTCGCGTGGGCGCTGGGCGGCATCATCGGCGCCGCGGGCACGGCGGACTTCATCGCCGGGGCGCTCCTCGCCGGCGGGTTGCCGGCCTGGGCCCTGCCCGCGTCGAGCAGCCTCCTCGCGTACGTGATCTCGTTCGCGACGGGCTCGTCCTTCGGCACGATGGGCATCCTCTTCCCGCTCATCGGCCCCCTGGCCTGGCGCCTCGGCGGCGGCGACGTGGCCATGCTCACGCACTGCTTCGGCGCGCTCCTCGGCGGCAGCCTCTTCGGCAACGTCTTCTCGCCGATCGCCGACACGACGATCCTCACGCAGCTCGCGACGCGCGTGCCCCTCGCGGACCACGTCAAGACCGCGGGGCCCTACGCGCTCCTCGTGGGGGCGCTCTGCGTCGTGCTCGGCGACGTGCCCGTGGGCCTCGGGCTCTTCGGGCCCCTGCCCGCGCTCGCGCTCATCGTCGCCGCGCAGACCGCCGTGCTCGCGGCCGTCGGGCGCAAGCCGCCGAGCGCGGGCAAGGGCAAGTAGGAGGCGCGTGCGCCACGCGAGATTTAAGCGTCAAGATGAGACTAGTTCTACTAGTGGTAGTCAAGTTCAGTCTGGACCCCTTGGAACTAGTAGTAGCCCGCGGTACCACCTCGAGCGCAGCGGAACGCCCCGACATATAGATGAACAACAAACAACACAGGTTACCCGGGGTCGTGGTGGACGCGGACGCGGTGGATCGCGCCGCGCGCGGTCGCCGCGGCGAACGTGAGCCGGTCCGCGGGCGACGGCGCGACGCAGGTGACGTCGCCGCCGGCGTCGTAGCGCGAGAGCACGCGGCCGCTGGACGTCTCGAGGTACTGGACGTCGGAGCCGCGCGCGACGAGCACGCGGCCGGCGTCGCGGACGAACGCCGCCGCGGCGGCGCGCCCGTCCCCCCGGAAGGACCGCTCCACGGCGCCGGTGTCGCGGCCCCAGACCTTGACCGTGCCGTCGGCGCTCGCGGACAGGATCTTCAGCCCGTCACGAGAGAAGGAGCAGCACGTCAGCGGCAGCGCGTGGCCGTCGATCGTCTTCTCGTAGTCGGAAGGATCGAGGCGCCGCGCGTCGTAGAGCACGAGCAGCGCCCCGGACTCCGCGTCCCAGAGCCGCAGCGTGCGGTCGCGGGACCCGGAGAGCACGCGCATCCCGTGGCGCGGGAACGCGAGGCACGTCACGTCGTCCGAGTGGCCGTCGTCGTCGAGCGGCGTCCCCCGGATCAGCACCGCCGCCTCGCCCGACGTCGACCGCCAGAGCCGCACGGTCTTGTCGGCGCCGCCCGTCGCGACGAGGCGCCCGTCGCCGGAGAACGCGACGGCCCAGAGCGGCCGGGAGTGGCCCTCGAGGACCCGGAGCCGCTCCCCGTCGTCCGCGGACCAGACCGCCGCGGTCCGGTCGCGGCTCGCCGTCGCCACCCGCGACCCGTCCAAACTCACGGCGCAACAGGTCACGCGGTCGACGTGGCCCCGGAGCGTCGCGACGAGGTGGCCGTCCGCGGACCGCCAGACGCGCGCGGTCCGGTCGTCCGACGCCGTCGCCAGCAGCCGGCCGTCGCCGCTGTAGCCCAGGGCCCGCACGGCGCGCGCGTGGCCCCGGGCCGACTCGAGCCCCGCGTCGGCGTCGGCCTCGCCCGATCGCAGCGCGTCGTGGAGCGACGCCGCGGCCGCGTGCTCCGCGAGCGCCGCGACGACCTTCCGGCGGCGGCCGTCCAGCTTCCGCGCGACGCGGCCCGTCGACCTAGGGAGAGCCATCGTGTCGCGTCGTGGGGGAAAAAAAAAACGGGACCCCGGAGGCGCGTGCGGGTCCCAGACGCGCGCGTCGCGGTCGCGGCCGCCCGAGACGACGTTCTCCGCGTGGTCGCTGAAGGACACGCAGCGCACGGCCGCGCCGCCGTGGCCGCGCCAGCGTTTCAGGAACACGGGCTTCGTCGCGTCCCAGACGCGCGCGCAGCCGTCGTGGCAGGCCGTCGCGACGCGCGCGCCGTCGGCGGACACGTCGACGGACGCGACGCGGTCGGCGTGGCCCGTGAACGTGAGGAGGAGCTCGCCCGAGGCCGCGTCCCAGAGGCGGCCCGTGCCGTCGTGGCTCGCCGTCGCGAGCCGCGCGTCGTCGCCGGAGAAGGCCGCGGCGACGACGTTCTCCGCGTGGCCGACGAGCGTCGTCCGGCGCCGGTCGAGCGCGCGGCCGGCGTCGAGGGCCGCGTCCCAGAGGACCGGCGACCGGCCCGCGGCCGTGACGATCGTCGCGCCGTCGTGGGAGAAGACAATCGCGTCGACGGCGCGGTCGTGCTCGAGGACGAAGCGGATCGCGCCCTTGGTCGCGTCGAGGCACCGCGCCTTTCCGTCGGCGCAGGCGACGCAGAGCGCGGACCCGTCGGGCGAGAACGCCAACCTTCGGAAGGAGTAGACGTGGTTGTCGAGGCTGCGGATCGCCTCGACGACGGGCGTCGCGGCCCTGGGGCCGAGCTTGCGGTACGCGGCGCGCACGGGGAAGAGGAGCACGTTGCCCTCGGCGCCGCACGTCGCCGCGTGGGCCCCGGCCGCGTCCAGGGCGACGCAGGACACGGCGTCCTGGTGGCCCCGGAACTGGACGAGGGCCCGGCCGTCGGCCGCGTCCCAGAGGCGCGCCGTGCGGTCCGCGGACGCCGTCGCGAGGCGCGCGCCGGGGCGGTCGTACGTGACCCACGCGACGCGGCCCTTGTGGCCCCGGAGCGCGAACGCGAGGCGCCCCGTCGACACGTCGTGGACCTCGGCGTCCGTCGGCCCGCCGGCGGTGGCGACGCGGCGCCGGTCCCGAGAGAAGGCGACGCAGGTGAGCGCGGCGCCCGCGCGGACCGCGCGCTCGAGTCGCGTCCGCGCGGCGCTCCAGAGCCGGACGTCGCCGTCGGCGGACCCCGTGACGACGTAGGCCGACCGGCTGAAGTCGCAGGACGTCACGGCGCCACCGTGGCCGCAGAGCGCCTGCTGGAGGACGCCGTTCGTCGCGTCGAAGATGAGCGCGCGGCCGTCGGCGCCGCCCGTCGCGACGCGCGCCGCGTCCCGCGAGAACGCGACCGCGAGCACCGCGGCCGCGTGGTAGATGCAGAAGAGGTAGCGCCCGCTCGCCGCGTCCCAAAGGCGCGCCGTCTCGTCGAGGGACGCCGTCGCGACGCGCAGGTCGTCGCGAGAGAGCGCGACGTCGCTCACCGAGGCCGCGTGGCCCTCGAACGTCGCGACGAGCGCGCCCCGGCGCGCGGCCCAGAGCCGCGCGGAGCGGTCCTCGCTGCAGGAGACGACGTAGGTGTCGTCGCGGGAGAAAGAGACGGACGTGACGGGCAGCCGCGTCGCCCGGCCCGCGGCGTCGCGCGCGTGGATGTCGAGGACGTGCTCGACGGCGCCCGTGTCGACGTAGTAGACCGTGACGACGTCCGTGCCGACGGCGACGCGCCGGAAGTCGCGGTTCTCGGCGCCGAGGGCCACGGCCGTCACGGGCGCGCCCCCGGCCGCGCCGAAGCACCGGCCGGCCGCGCCCGTCGCCGCGTCCCAGAGCCGCGCGACGCCGTCGGCGCCGCCCGTCGCGACGTGGCCGCCGTCCGCGCCGTAGCAGCAGCAGAGCACGGCCCCGCCGTGGGCCAGCGCCGGGCATGGTACGTCGAAGCGCTGGCCCGGCGGCACGTCCGGCGGGACCGCGACCGTCGCCGCGACGCCGTCCGGGCGGACGCACGCGACGGCGTCGCCGGCCTCGGCGCCCGGCGGCGCGCGCGCCGAGGCGACGCAGGCGCCGTAGGCCTCGAGGGCGAACATGGTCTCGGACGTCAGGGGGTGGTGCACGAGCGCGCGGCCGTCGGCGCCGCCGGACGCGACGCGCGGCGCGTCCTCGGAGAACGCGCAAAAGTAGACGTTGCCCGCGTGGCCCCGCAGGTCGCGCTCGAGGGCCCCCGTCGCCGCGCACCAGACCTTGACCGTCTCGTCGCGCGACGACGTCGCCACGTGGGCCGCGTTGTGGTGGCTGAAGGCGCAGCACAGCAGGCCGCTGCCGTGGCCGCGGAGGACGAAGCGGACCTCCGCGGTCGCGACGTCCCAGATCTTCGCGACGCCGTCGTCGCCGCCGGACGCGCATTTGCCGTCGACGCTCAGGCAGCAGCAGGTCACGGCGCCGCCGTGGGCCCGGAGCGCCGCCGAGACGCTCGCGCCGTCCGCGGCGGACCAGAAGCGGAGCGCGCGGTCGCGGCCGCCCGTCGCGACCGTCGCGCCGTCGACGCTCGACGACAGCGCGCAGGCGGCGCCCCGGTGCGCGGCGACGCGGAGGCGCGGGGCGCCGTCGGCCGCGCCCCAGAGCGCGACGGCCCCGTCGTCGCCGCCGGAGAGGAGCAGCGCCCCGGTCCGGTCGAACGCGACGGCGCGGACCGCTCTCTCGTGGGCCTCGGCGCTCCAGGCCAGCGCGCCCGTCGCCCCCGCGAAGACGCGCACGCGCTTGTCGACGCAGCCCGTCGCCAGGCGCGCGGCCGGGCCGACGGGCGGCAGCGCGACGCAGGTGACGGCCCCGCCGTGCGCGCGCGCGACGGAGACGAGCTTGCCGTCGACGGCGCCGAAGAGCCGCGCGCAGCCGTCGCTGCCCGCCGTCGCGACCCAGGCGCCGTCGTGGGAATATGCCACGCAGGTCACGTCCTTGGCGTGGCCTCCGAGGCGCGTCTCGACCTCCGCGACGACGGGCCGGAGGTCCTTGCGCGCGTCGCGGTGCGCGGACTTGGCGAGCGCGCGGCGCTCCGGGTCGCGGCTGAAGGCGACGCAGGTGAGCTCTCGCGCGTGGCCCCGCAGGAGCGCGTAGAGCGTGCCGTGGGCGCCGTCCCAGACGCCGCAGGTGCCGTCGAAGCTCGCCGTCGCGACGAGCTCGCCGTCGGACGAGAACGCGACGCCGGAGACGTCCCGGGCGTGGCCGTGGAGGGCGAGCTTGAATCTGCCGTCCGAGGCGTCGTGGATGCGCGCGGACCTGTCCGCCGACGCCGTCGCGAGCCACTTGTTGTCCGGCGTGAACGCGACCGCGGTCACAGCGCCGTCGTGGCCGCCGTGCGCGCGGATCGCGGCGCCGCCGCCGGCGTCCCAGAGCACGGCCGTGCGGTCCTCGGAGCCCGTGAGGATGGCGCGGCCGTCGCGGGCGAAGGCGACGCAGGTGCCCGCGCGGCGGTGGCCCGAGAGCTTGCGCGCGAGCTTTCCCGTCGCCGCGTCCCAGACGCGGACGCCGTTGTCCCGGCTCACGGTCACGACGAGGGACCCGTCTCTTGAGAAGTCGCAACCCGTGACCTCCTTGGCGTGGCCCCGGAGCACGGCGAGGGGCTTCCGCGGCGCCGCGTGGCCCCCGAGGCGGAGGAGCGGCGCGGGCGCCGCCGCGGCGGCGCCGGCCGGCGGCGCGTCGACGAGCGTGTCCCAGACCCGCGCGGTCCTGTCGTCCGACGCCGTGGCGACCTTGGTGCCCGCGCGGTTGAAGCGGCAGCAGGTCACGGCGGCGCCGTGGCCCCGGAGCACGCCGTCGCACCTGGGCAGCAAAAGGGTGCGAAATTCCCAACTTCAAAGGCTCCTATCTCGGTCGTTTTCCGCTCGTTTCGGCTGATTTTTGGACGAGCGATCATCTCTCGGAGCGCTCTCGAAGCGCGGGTGCTGTTTTCGAAACGCGCGCGCGCGGCACACTCACGTTGAAGCGACGTTGAATCACCCTGTTGCTGCCCTGCGTCGCACGCGCCCGCGGCGACGTCCCAGAGGCGGCACGTCGCGTCGGCCGACGCGGTCGCGAGGCGCCGCCCGGAGCCGTCGAAGGCGACGCTCAGCACGTAGTTCGTGTGGCCCTTGAGCTTGTGGACGCACTTGAAGGAGCCCGCGTCGTAGAGCCGCGCGGTGTTGTCGCGCGAGCCCGTCGCGACGCGCGCGCCGCCGTGCGCCGCGGCGGCCGCGGCCTCGACGAGGCCCCGGCCCTCGACTAAAATCTTCCTCGCCGTGCCCGTCCAGGCGTCCCAGATGCGCACGCTCCCGTCCTGGCCGCCCGTCGCCACGCGGCGCGCGTCGCCGTCGAACGCGACGCCGCGGACCGCGCCCGCGTGGCCGAGGAGCGTCGTCCGCAGGGCGCCCGTCGCCGCGTCCCAGACGCGCGCGCCGCCGTCGGCGCCGCCCGTCGCGACGGCGCCGCCGTCCTTGGAGAAGGCGCAGCAGAGCACGCTATTGGATCGATCCTCGAGCGCGAGCCGCAGGTCGCCCGTCGCCGCGTCGTGGAGCCTAACGGGGTGACGCGACGTCGCTTCATTCCGCGCGCGCGCGTTCCAAAGAAATCGCCCACGCGTCGAGAGCGCTCCGAGGGATGATCGCTCGTCCAAGAATCGGCCGAAACGAGTGGAAACCGGCCGAGCTCGGAGCCGTTGAAGTTGGGCGCGTCGCGCCCTTTCGTTCCCGCGCCGCGCGGCGCCGGCCCAGGTCCGCGGGCTTCGCCCGGGCCCGCTTGTCGACGCCCCGGAGCGTGCCCGACGCCGCGTGCCACTTGAGCGCCTTGCCGTCGGCCGTGGACCGCGTGTAGACCTCGCCGCCGTCGCGCGAGAAGCGGAGGCAGTCGACGGGCCGACCGTGGCCCGCGTGGCCCCGGCCGCCCTGGCCGTCGAGCACGGCCTCGAGGGCGCCCGTCGCCGCCGTCCAGAGCTTCGCCGCGCCGTCGCCGCCGCCGGAGAGCACGCGGCGGCCGTCGGGCGAGAAGGCGACCGCGTAGCACGCGCGGCCGCCGTGCGCCTGTGCCGGAAACAACCGGTGGAACGCCCCGTCCAGCAAAAACTTCAAACCTCTCGAGCTCGGTCACATCGAAGTCGTTTTGGCTGATTTTTGGACGGATCGTGTTCTCTCGGCGAGTTCCTTTGAGAGAGTGAAAAAACGATTTCAAAACTGTGCGAACACATGCATATTGAAGTCGTGTTGAATATGTTTGTTTCCCGCCCGGCCGCGCGCCTGCTCGACGGCCGCGAGGCACGGGTCCGCGTCCTCGGGCTTGTCGACGCGCTCGAGGACGCAGTTCGCCTCCGCCGCCGGCGGCTTGGCGTCGCGGAGCCGCGCGAAGGCGCGGAAGACGTGGGAGCCGTCGGGCGCGTTCGCCGCGAGCGCGTAGACGCGCGCGGGCTCGCCGCGGATCTCGTCCGCGTGCCGCAGGAGCCAGCGCTTGACCTCGCGCAGCGCGGCCGAGTCCCAGCCGTGGTCCGCGAGGGCCGCCAGCTCGCGGACGAGGGCGGGCACGCGGCCGTGCTTCGCGGACGCGCAGAGGAAGCGCAGGCTGCCCAGGACGCGCTCGCCGCGCGCGACGTCGTCCGGCGCGGCGCGCCGCGCGCGGCGCGCGTGCGCCGCGAAGTGGCGGAGCGCGTAGCGCACGAGGTCGTCCTCGGCCTCGATGGCGTCGCGGCCGCCCCGGAGGACCTCGCCCTCGTCCAACAGCGGGCCGAGCAGCGTCGCCGCGTAGTCCGCGAGCCTCGCGTCCGCGGCGGCCTGGGCAGGAAAAGAGTGATTCAACGTCGCTTCAACATGAGTGTTCCGCGCGCGCGCGTTCTCAAAAAAAGCATCCACGCTTCGAGACCGTTCCAAGAGATGATCGATCGTCCAAAGATCAGCCGAAACGAGTGGAAAACGGCCGAGAGAGGAGCCTTTGAAGTTGGGAATTTCGCTCTCTTTTCCTGCCCTGGCGGCGGCGACCGCGTCCGCGTCGAGCGTGAAGTCGTGGCGGCCCTCGGGCCAGGTCAAAAAGTCGACGACGGCGGCGTGGCGCGCGACGAAGCGGCCCCGGGCCACGGGGAAGAGGCGCGCGAGGGCGCGCGTCGCGCGCTGGAGGTCCCGGGGCTTGAGCCGCAGCGCGCCCGCGGCCTGTGTGGAAATCAACCAGTGAGCTGGGACGTCGGGGCCAAACTTCAGAAATCTCTAGCTCGGTCAAATCGAAGTCGATTCGGCTGGTTTTTGAACGAATCGATCGCTCTCGTCGAGGCCTCGAAGCAGAGCCGAAGCGCTTGTGTCGAAATTTTCGACTACGCGCACATTGAAGTCGGGTTGAAGATTTGATTTCCACACCGCCCGCGGCGAGCTCGACGGGCAGCGGCTCGCGCGCGGCGACGACGGCGGCGACGACGGGCCGCGCGCGCGCCCAGGACCCCGGCTCCGCGAAGGCCTCCCGGAAGCAGGCGAGGAGCATGGCGTCCAAGCCCTCGGGCAGCTCGAGGAGCGCCGCGTGGGTCAGCGCGCCGCGCGTCGCCGCGTCTGTCCCGTCGTCGCGCCGCGCGTCGTCGGCCGCGGCCGCGGCGTCGCTCGCGGCGTCGAGCCGCTCCGACAGGAGGCCCGCCCAGGCCATGGACCTACCACGCACGTCGGTCGCGACGGTTCATCGTGTTCCCACCCGGAATCTCTCGAAACTCGTCGCGGCCGCGGGACGCTGCCATGGACCCCATGGACAGGGACACGAGCGTGTCGACGGCGACGTCCTCCTCGGAGTTGGACAGTCGTCCGACGACGCGGCGCTCGGCCGCGTGCGCGCGCGCGCGGATCGGGAACCGCGCGTCCGCGCCTGTCGTCCCCGGCGTCCGTCGGAGCGCCGTCGAGGGGTTCGGACCGGAGCCCTTCGAGCACGCGACGAGCGCGGACGGCTCGTCCAAAGATCGGCCCCATCGACGTCGATGTTCGGAAGTCCGGCCCCGACGTCCCGGCTCGCCGGCGCGATGCCCGCGCGGGCCCGCGCCGCGCCGCGCGAGGTCCCGGAGCTCGGCGAAGATGGCCGCGCCCTCGTCGAGGCGCCAGGCCTCGAGGGCGAGCACGACCTCGGCGTTGTGGTGGCGCCCGTCGCCCAGGGGCACGCGCACGACGCAGCGGACGTCGCGGTTCCCGCACGGCGTCGGCCGCCGCGCGCGGTTCTCGAGCGACGCGAGCCGCAGGCCCGCGGCCTGCGTGGAAATCAAATCTTCAACCCGACTTCAATGTGCGCGTATGCGACCGTTTCGACGCAAGCTCTTCGGCTCTGCTTCGAGAACTCGACGAGAGCAATCGATCCGTCCAAAAATCAGCCGAATCGACTTCGATTTGGCCGAGATAGAGAGGTTTGAAGTTTTGCTGGACGCGTCCATTCCACTGGTTGATTTGCACACAGCCCGCGGCCCGCTCCAGCGCCGGCGCGTCCATGAGCTCGTCGAGCGCGGCCCGGAGGCCCGCGCAGGTGCCGTAGACGAGCGTGAGCCGCGCGAGGTCCGTGAGCCGCGACGCGTCGCCGTCGTAGTCGTACGTCGCCTTGGCCTCCGCGGCGCCGCGGTCCTTGACCTGCGCGGGCGATTCGACGTCGCTTCACCGCGCGGGTGCCGCGCGCGCGCGTTCCTAGAAAAGGCGTCCGCGCGTCGAGAACGCGGCGGGAGACGATCGCTCGTCCGAACATGGGCCGAAACGCGCGGAGCGCGGCCGAGGGGGACGTCGGGCGCGTCGCGCGCGTTCGCCGCGCGGTCGTCGACGCCCGGGCTCAGCGCGCGGGCGACGCCCGGGAGCCGCGGGCGCGCGGCCCGCCGAAAAGGCCCGTCGATCTCCCAGTCCGCGGCGGCGAGGCGCTCGAGGAACGCCTGGGCCTCGCGCGCGTCCTCGTAGAGCGCCTCGAGGCTCGCCCGGCCCCGCGCCTGGGCAGACAAGGGTGCGAAATTCGCAACTTCAAAGGCTCCTTTCTCGGCCGTTTTCCGCTCGTTTCGGCTGATTTTTGGACGAGCGATCATCTCTCGGAACGGTCTCGAAGCGTGGATGCTTTTTCCGGAACGCGCGCGCGCGGAACACTCACGTTGAAGCGACGTTGAATCACCCTTGTCCTGCCCTGCCCCGCGCGGGCGGCGGCGGCGCGAAGACGTCGTCGACGGCGAGGAGCCGCGCGTAGCCCTCCGGGTCCTCGGCCGCCGTCGACGCCGCCGCGGCGCCCTGGAGCTCGCGGCCGCGCTTCAGCAGCCCGTCGAAGCCGCGCTCGCGGCCCCGCGCCGCGAGGTCCTCGCGCGTCGCGCGGAGCATGCCCGCGACGCGCTGCCCGCACGCGCGCTCGACGTCGGCCTCGAGGTCGCCGCTGCGCACGCGCGCGTCGCATTTGGCCGGGACGACCTCGCGGAAACAGCGCCGCAGGTCGTTGAGGTTCCGCCACTCGTCGTAGGCGAGGTCCGCGGTGGGGTAGCTCCGGAGGACGCCGTCGACCTGGGCCGCGAACGCCCGGCTTCACGGGCTCCCTAGCTCGGCCGTTTTCCACTCGTTTCGGCTGTTGTTTGGACGAGCGATCATCGCTCGGAGCGCTCTCGAAGCATGCATGTTCTATTTGGAACGCGCGCGCGTAGAACAGTCACGTGGTAGCGACATCGAATCACCCGTTCGCGGCCCCGCCGTCGACGTCGGGCGACCGGCGGCTCGTGACGACGACGCGGAGCCACCAGGGGAAGCGCCGCGCGAGGTCGTGGGCGAACTGGAGCAGGGCCGCGCGCCCGAAGCGGCCGCCGAGCTCGTCGATGCCGTCCAGGAGGAGGAAGTAGGGCTCCGCGCGCGTCGGCGCGCGCGTCCGCGCGACGGGCTCGAGGAGCAGCGCGGCGACCGCGGCCTCGGGCCGCCCGCGGCGGAGCGCCGCGGCGACGGCGGCGTCGTCGGGCGCGAAGCCCGCGACGCGCTCCCGGAGCATCGCCGCCATGGAGCCCGCGACGGCCGCGACGTCGCTGAGCGCCGCGGCGTCGCGGCGGCAGAGGTGCCACGCGCCGCAGCGCGGGCCGAGCTCGCGCAGCAGCGCGGCGGCGACGACGCCTGCGAGGGGCGCCTCGGCGGCGCGACGGCGCGGTCGCCACGGCGCCGCGGCGCGCTCTTGCCCATGCCCGCGTCGCCCGTGACGCCGAAGAGCCGCGCGCCCCGCGGGTCGTCGAGCCAGGCCCGCACGAGGTCGATGACCCAGGTCCGCGTCCCGGCGACCTGCTTCTCGCGCAGCTCCTTGAGGAGCACCGAGAAGTTCTGGGCCTCCATGCGGACGGCGGGAGGCCGGGCAGGCAGCCCAGTGCTAGCCCATCATGCCTTCCCGCTCCGCTCGACGCTGCAGCATCGGCCTCAATCACCCTGCCAACACGGCGTTGCCTTCTCGTTCCCGCCCGCGCCCGCGCCCGCCGGGCTCGGCGAGGCGCCCGTGCCGCCCCTGGATTGGTGGGACGAGCCGCCGTTTTATTAGGCCTCGGCGCGGATAGGCGGCGACGCCTCTTCCACTCCCGAGGGCTCTTTGAAGAGACTTGTCCACTTCAATTCCCCGACACGTGTCGTGACGAATGTCTTTTTACTGCACTCTAGCGGCGGCCAGCTCGGGGAGCGGCGGCGGCTGCCGGGCGCCGGGCGATGGGCCGTCGGGGGACCTCGTTCGCGTGGTGCCGGCGGGACGAGTGAGCTCGTCGGAGTGCTTCTTGGCTTGTGGGCTTCTTGTGGCGCCGGTGATGGCGCCGTGGGCGATGTCCGAGGACGTCGGCCGGGGTCGGCTGCTTTCGCGAAGGGCGGAAGCGGCCTGGTCGCGGGCGAAGTATCGCCCGCGGTCTGGTGCGGCGGCGTCGCCGCGCGGGAAACGCGGACGATGTCGTCGGCTTGTGGCGCCGGTGATGGCGCCGAGTTGACCGCTTCCGCGAGGGACGCAGCGGACGGTGAGGCGACGAAAGTTCTTTCGCCGCCAACTTGCTCCGAGATGAAGCGGCGCCGCGATGACGACGCCGTGGAGTGGACACGTTTGGGGGAGGGGGAGGGGGCTTGGGGGGCATAGCCATCGCCGTCGACCTTGGAGGTCAGGGCGCGGCTCTTCGCGCCCCTCAGGCCTCGAGCTGGACCTCCGCGTCGAGCTTCGGCGCCGACGTCTCCTCCGCGGCGCGGCCGCGGAGCTTGCGGACGACGACGGCGAGGACGAGGACGAGGACGGCCGCGCCGACGCAGAGGCCGACGATGAGCGGCGTGGAACTTTGGTTGACGGAGTTGCCTTTGCCGTCCGTTTTCGATTCTTTCGTTGTCTCGTCGGGAAGGTAGAAGGTGTCCGTGCCGGCGCCGCCCTACGAAGAACATGTCGAAAAACGCGGCGATGGTTTCGGAATGGACGCGGGAGACGCTGACGTAGAGGAGATTGTTGGAGCCCTCGACGACGGTGAGCTTGTCGTTGTCCGCTTCTCCCTACGCGTGCGCGAAACGTCGACGCGAGCGTCGGGCCACGCGCGCGCGCGGACGAGGCGACGACGGGTGGGGATCCCGGATGGACGCGGGAGACGCTGACGTAGAGTTTGTTCTTGTCGCCGGACTCGACGGTGAGCGTGTCCTTGTCGTCGCCTCCCTACGCGTGCGCGAAGCGTCGACGCGAGCGTCGGGCCGCGCGCGCGCGGACGAGGCGACGACGGGCGGGGATCCCGGATGGACGCGGGAGACGCTGACCTTGAGCATGTTGCCGTCGCCCTCGACGACGTTGAGCGTGTCGTCGCCCGCATCTCCCTACGCGTGCGCGAAGTGTCGACGCGAGCGTTGGGCCGCGCGCGCGCGGACGAGGCGGCGACGGACGGGGATGCCGGATGGACGCGGGAGACGCTGACCTTGAAGAGGTTGTACTTGCCCTCGACGACAGTGAGCTTGTCCTTGTCGTCGCCTCCCTACGCGTGCGCGAAGCGTCGACGCGAGCGTCTGGCCGCGCGCGCGCGGACGAGGCGGCGACGGATGGGGATCCCGGATGGACGCGGGAGACGCTGACGTGGAGGGAGTTGCCCCTGCCGGACTCGACGGTGAGCGCTTCCTCGCCCAGGCCTCCCTACGCGTGCGAGAAGCGTCGACGCGAGCGTCGGGCCGCGCGCGCGGACGAGGTGGCGACGGGTGGGGATCCCGGATGGACGCGGGAGACGCTGACGTTGAGGAGGTTGTCGTCGCCCTTGACGACGGTGAGCGTGTCCTTGTCGTCGCCGCCCTACGCGCGTGCGCGAAGCGTCGACGCGGGCGTCGGGCTGCGCGCGCGCGGACGAGGCGGCGACGGACGGGGATCCCGGATGGACGCGGGAGACGCTGACGTTGAGGCGGTTGTAGCCGCCCTCGACGAGGGTGAGCGTGTCGTCGCCGTCGCCGCCCTACGCGTGCGCAAAGCGTCGACGCGAGCGTCGGGCCGCGCGCGCGCGGACGAGGCGGCGACGGACGGGGATGCCGGATGGACGCGGGAGACGCTGACGTAGAGGTAGTTGTAGTCGCCCTCGACGACGACGATCGCGTCGTCGCCGCCTCCTCCCTACGCGTCGCGCTGAGGCGAAGAAGAGCCGCGGACGTTTCAGACGCGGGGAGGTTGCGAAGATTTTGTTGTAGCTGCCCTTGAGGAGCACGCAGTCGTCGTTGCCGGTGAGGGGGATCTCGTTGCGCTTAGCCCACGACCCAGACACCGTAAGTTCCTGGCACTTGCCCGCGATGCCCTCGCAGCACTTGGCGCAGCTGCCTTCGGAGCCCGCCAGGCAGTCGGCGCGCGTCTTGGCAGACGCCTTGGCCGGCGGCGGCGCGGGCGTCGTCGTCGTCGTTGTGGGCTTGTCCGTAGGCTTGGCGCTGGGCTTGGCGCTGGGCGCGGGCGTCGTCGTCGTCGTTGTGGGCTTGTCCGTAGGCTTGGCGCTGGGCTTGGCGCTGGGCGCGGGCGTCGTCGTCGTCGTTGTGGGCTTGACCGTAGGCTTGGCGCTGGGCTTCACGGGTTCGGGCTCCGGCTCGGGTTCGGGTTCGGGCTCGGGCTCGGGCTCGGGTTGAGGTTCTGGTTGCGGTTCCGGCTGCGGTTCCGGTTGGGGTTCCGGTTGCGGTTCGGGTTCCGGCTCGGGCTCTGGCTCGGGCTCGGGTTCGGGCTCCGGCTCGGGCCCCTCGCAAGCACGCCCCCCACACTCGTCCTCGCACTGTGCGCGCGCGGCGTTGCACCAGTCGCCGCCTTCTTCCACGCCGTTGCACCCGCTCCAATTGCAGTACCACGTGCGCGGCTCGGCCACGCCCGTGAGGCGTCGCTTGAGCGGAGCATCCTTCACCGGAAAGGCCGTCGTCACGGCTGGCGCGAAGATCTCATCGGGCAGAGCTGGATATTTGGCAAAGGCGAGACCCAAGCCGCCGATGGCGGCCCCAGTGCGGAACGCAGCCGCTCCCGTGGCGCCGAGGAGGAGAGCGATGATGGTCTTCATGTTTGGCCTGCGCGAGGGCGCCCGTCGGCGAAGCGGCTCGAGACGCTCGACGTCGTCGCCGATGTCGCGAGCGCGCGCGCCCATCTCGTTCGGGGGGGGGTCCCAGGCGCGCGCGCGCCGCTTCAGGTATGTAAGTTGCGTTTTGGCGGGTACG